CAACACATATAGTTTTACCACATGCTAGACACTGTTTTCATTTATATTAAACCTTATAAACTATTATTATTTCTAACTTATAGAAAAAGAATCTAAGGCATGGCTGGGCTAAGTGACCTGTCCAAAGTTACAGAGCAATAAGGGTCAGAGCTCATATGCAAGTTCATTTGAAGGTGCAGAAAATTAAAACAAGTACATGAGAGCCAGAAAATGACCTTGAATATATCTCACCTGAATTTAGAGACCATCTGAAGATGAGATTTGATGTAATGCATACCAGTGACCAAAGACCACATGAGCTGTGGGAAGACATCAAGGACAACATACACAAAAAGCAAAAGGCCATTAAAAAGACAACCACAGAAGAGAAGACCAAAATGCATGTCAGAAGAGCCTCTGAAATTTGCTCTGGAATGAAGAGTAGCAAAAGCAAATGGAAGAAATGATGAAGTAAAAAAGCTGAACATAAGATTTCAAAGGGCAGCTCAAGAGGACAATATAAAGTATTATAATGAAATGTGCAAAGAACTGATGTTAGAAAATCAAAGGGGAAGAACAGACTCAGCATTTCTCAAGCTCAAAAAACTAAAGAAAAAATTCAAGCCTTGAGTTGTGATAATGAAGGATTCTATGTGCAAAATATTGAATGACGCAGGAAGCATTAAAAGAAAATGGAAAGAGTACACAGTTACTGTACTAAAAAGAACTGGTCAGTGTTCAACCATTTCAGGAGGCAGCATATGATCAAGAATAGATGGTACTGAAAGAAGAAATCTAAGATGCACTGAAGCAACTGGCAAAGCTCCAGGAAATGATGGAATACCCTTGAGATAGTTTCAACAAATAGACACAGTGCTAGAAAGGCAAACTCATTTATGCCAAGGAATTTGGAAGACAGCTATCTGCCAGCTGTCTTGGAAGAGATCCATAATTGTGCCCATTTCAAAGAATGCAACAATTATTGAACAATATCATTATAATCACATGCATGTAAAATTTTGCTCAAGATAATTCAAAAAGAGTTGCAGTAGTACAAAAACAGGGAATTCTGGATTCAGAAGAGGGCATGACATCAGCAATGATGTCATATGGATCTAGGCTGAAAGCAAAGAATACCAGAAAGATGTTTAGCTGTGTTTTATTGACTATGCAAAGGCATTCAACTGTACAGATCATAACAAAGTATGAATAACATGGTGAAGAATGGGAATTTCGTAACACTTAATTGTGCTCATGAGGAACCTGTACATAGACCAAGAGGCAGTCTTTCAAACAGAACACGGGGATACTGAAAGGTTTAAATTAGGAAAGGTCTGCTTCGGATTGTATCCTTTCACTATACTTACTCAATCTGAATGCTGAGCAAATAATTCCAGAAGTTGTATATGAAGAAGAATGAGGCATCGGATTAGAGGAAGACTCATTAACGACTTGTGATATGTAAACAACACAATCTTGCTTCTTGAAAATGAAGAAGACCTGAAGCACTTAGATGAAGATAAAAGACTCCAGCCTTCAGTATGGATTACACCTCAATATAAAACAAGAATCCTCACAAGTGGACCTATAAGCAACATCATGATAAATGGAGTAAAGATTGAAATTGTCAGAGATTTCATTTTATTTAGATCCACAATCAATGCCCATGGAAGCAGCAGTCAAGAAATCAAAGAACATAATGAGCTGGGCATATCTGCTTCAAAAGACCTCTTTAAAGTGCTTAAGAGCAAATATATCACTTTGAAGACTAAGGTACACTTGACCTAAGGCATAGTATTTTCAGTAGCCTCACAGGTATGTGACAGCTGGACAATGAATAAGGAAGACCACAGAAGAACTGATACATTTGAATTATGGAATTGGCTATGAATACTGAATGTACTATGGACTGCTAGAAGAACAAAGTACAGCTGGAATGCTCCTTAAAGCAAGAATGGCCAGACTTCATCTCTCATACTTTGGGACCAGTCTCTGGAGAAGGATATCATGCTGGTTAAAGTTATGTAAACAGTCAGCGAAAAAGGAGACCCTTTTTGATTGTGATAGATAGTTTCAGTTAGATCCTGGATAAAATGTTGATGGTCTTGTCTGCTGTTGAATCGATTTTTGACTCATAGGGACCCATGTGACAGTAGAACTGCACTAAAGCATTTCCTAGGTTGTAACCTTTAAAGTCAGCGAAAAAGGGGAGTACCCTTAACAAGATGGATTGACAGTAGCTGTGATGATCAGTTCAAGTATGGCAATGACTGTGAGGATGGCGCAGAACTAGAGCAGTGTTTCATTCTGTTGTACATAGAGTAGCTATGAGTTGGAACCTGACTTGATGGCACCCACCAACAACAAGGGCCAGAGCTGTGGTTCTGTCCCACACAGTTTGGGTCTAAAGTTCATGCTCTTAAATGACACAATTCTATACTGAATTGTGGAAAGACACAGAAATGAAGACAAGGGTAAGTAAGCTGTTAGAGCCATTTGGGGTGAGAAAGATCAAGATTCACACTAGACCTGAATGAACAGTTCTCATATATAAAGCAGGTCCTGTTTGGAATATCTGGACTACAATGTTTCCATCTGTTTGGAAGATTTAGTTCATTATTTCATTACTTCAGAGAATGAATGCTGAGGAACTTGTTGTTTGAGGGAAATGGGGATGCTCCCTAAACTGTTGTCATTTCAGTGCTTCAGAGTTAGCATATATTTGAAATCCCAAAAGTATTCTGTTTAACTAGAACAAGTCTTGAGCCCAGTTCCAATGCAACTTCAATACTTCAAGGAAGATGATATTCACAACAGAAGGAAGTGAGGTCAACAAGGAAGAAGAGAGAGAAACTGCTGGGCAAGAATGGAAGCTTGCAACTCCTCACATGCTTGTCTGCTCATCATAGCTTTGTTCCTTTAATCAAACCTTTACCCTCTCCAGGCAAAGGCAAGGTACACAGTATGGCTCTATGAAATATACTCACAAAAAGACAAGTCTGTTACAATAAAGCAATGGTCTTTTCAGTTCTAAGATTATACCCTTATTTAGATCACATTTCCCTTTAACTATGAAGTGAGTGGGATCCTTGAATTTTTTTTTTAAACAAACAAACTCGGTTTTTCAATATCAAAACAGATTTAAAAAAAAAAAAAAAAACGAAATTGATTGCAGGCCTGATTAGAGAAAACATCTTTTTTGATTTTTTTTCCCTCCAAATAAAGTATAGCATACAGTGGATAATTAAGTTTGTAGAAGAAAAGAGAGAATCTAAAGTAATGACTTAAAGATTACCAAGTGCTTCTTTACATAAACCAAATCAGTTGCCATGGACTGAACTCCAACTCATGGTGATCCCACGTGTGTCAGAGCAGAAGTGCAGCATAAGGTTTTTAATGGCTGACTTTTTAGAACCAGATCACTAGGTTTTTCTTCTGAGGTTACTCTGGGTAGACTTGAACCTCCAACCTTTCCGTTAGCAGCCAAGCACTTAATCATTTGCAACTCCATATTAATCACATTCTTTTTGGGCCTATGTAAGTTTTGGAGTTTATTTTGCCTCAGCTTTGAAAAAAATTAGTAATTTTATTTCATTTCACTAAAGTTCCAAGGAGCCAAGTAGCACAATAGTTAAGTGCTCTGCTCCTAACTGAAAGGCTGGTGGTTGGAACACACCCAGGGGCTCCATGGGAGAAAGAACTGGCAGTATGCTTCCATAAAGATTACAACCTAGGTAACTCTTTGGTTCAGTTCTAGTCTGCCACATGGGGTCCCTATGAGTAAAAATCAGTTCAATATCAGATAACAACAACAACATTTTAATCAGGGTCTAAATGAAACTATCTACCACAGTCAAAAGGTAACAGGCACATTAGCTATTTGTAGTTTCTTTGTAAGCCTGAGCACCCATGTTAAAACCATAATACTAGGTAGTACTTTGTAGTATTATGGTGATCAAACCTAATGTAGATTCAAGCTAAAAGTATTTTTTTCCTCACAAAACATGGAAAAAATGAAAGTGATCTTGAATTTATCTGTTTTTCCAAATTATTTATAAAAATACTACTGATATAATTAGACTATTCTAGTTTTGCATGAAGAAGCCCTGGTGGTGCAGTGGCTAAGTGCCAGGCTGCTAACTAAAAGGTCAGCAGCTTGAACTTACCAGCTGCTCTGTGGGATAAAAGGACCTGGTGATCTGCTCCCATAAAGATTAAGAGCCTTGGAAACCTTAACAGTTCTACTCTGTACTATAGAGTTGCTATGAATTGTAATTGACTTGAGGGCAATGTGTTAATTATACATGCAAATGTCTAATAAAATGTTTCAAGATATGTTATTTCACTTTCAACTTTGAGGCCTGGTCACACTGCCAACTGCAATGAATCTAAAAATCACTCAATTTGAGTACAAGAAAAATAGACTCTCTAAGGACCTGAGAATGGGGCTCTGGTAGTGTAGTGGTTAAGGTATTTGGCTGCTATCCAAAAGGCTGGTGATTTGAATCTCACAGAAGAAAGATGAAGTGGTCTGCTTCAGTAAAGATTTACAGCCTTTGAAACCAAATGGGGGTCGCTATGAGTCAGAATCAAGGTGATGGCAGTGAGTTTAGTTTTGATCAAGGACCTGAGAAGGAACCCTGGGTGGTGCAAATGATTATGTACTTGGCTACTAACCAAAAGGCTGGTGGGCATTCAGAGATAGCTCAGAAGGTCTGGGGATGTACTTTAGAAAAATCAGCCTTGAAAACCCTGTGGAGCACAGTTCTACTCTGACATACACAGGGACATCATGAGTCTGTGTCGAGCTGATGACAGCTCTCTCTGTTTCTTTTTTCCCTTTTGGTTAAGGACCTAAGACTAAATGTTATTTCCCAAATAGTTGTGACACCTATTAAATTTCATATGCTTACTTACATCTGCTATAAAAAGTGTCTGCTAGATTTGAACATGAGTCAAGTAAATGTCAGAAATCAATGTGCAAGCCCCTGGGCCCTGTCAAAGAAGGAAGAGAGACTTACACTGGATGGCTCGGAGTCGGGGGATTATTGTCGGGCTGCTTGGTGGACTAGAACTGTTACTGTGCAAACTTCTTCGTTTTTCCAAATTGGGAGAAGCCTGTACGGTAATTTTGTGCTGAAAATCTGTTGGATGATAAAAATAAAATAATTGAGATTTCATGGTTTTAAGTTATTATCATACCCATGCCTTTAGCACACAGCAATAAAAACAATTAGAAAAAAATAAAAAAATAAGTATGAAGTATATTTCAAAACAGAGCTTTGAACTGGTTCATTGCAGTTCAAGCTCTTGCTGAAAATTTGCATTTCCACCCCAGATATACCAAATCAGGATCTGAATTTTAACAAGACTCTTATATATACACATAAGAATCACCTAAGGATCTTGTTAAAATGTAGATTTGGTTTCAGTATATCCAGGGCTGCTGTTGTTGTTGTTATGTGCTGTCGAGTCGGCCCCGACTCATAGCGACCCCTCATTGGGTTTCCGAGGCAGTATCACTACGGAAGTAGGATTGCCCAACCTTCCTTCCGAGGAGTGGCTGGTGGGTTTGAACCACCAGCCTTCTGGTTAGCAGTTAAGTGCTTTTAGCCACTATAATACCAGAGCTCCTTGCAGAAACGCTAATTCTCAGAAGGGGGTCGAACTGAAATAACTAATTCAAAGCCCTAGTTTCTTACTAGCATATATTCAATTCAAGGTTCAAGTGAATAAATAACAATTCGGAGTTCATGATCTGTTAGGTATGGTGAGAAAGATTGAGAGACACAGAAAAAGAAAATGTTACTCTAAACCTTGTAGAATGTATAATCTTCCGGAGAAAAAAAGTTAAATTATTCAGTTTGACATAGTTTATGAAACAACAACACAGAATTAAAAATAGGAGGCCCTGGATTTAAATGAGTCCTGGCTCTGTCACTAATAAACTATATACCTCAAACAAATAAAGAACCTCTCTGAGCCTCTTCTTACCTATTAAATGTAAACAACAGTGTCTCTCAGGATTGTTGTAGAGACTACAATAGAAAATATAGATGACAAGCATTCTTTGGTCAAAGTACAAATGACAGTTATTATTACCTATTATTTATTGTCCTGCTGGGCAATATAGAGAGAGTAGCCCACCACTTGTCTGCCAGTTTTTTTGTACTGTGATGACTATGTGTTACTATGAAGCTGGAAGCTATGGCATCAGTATTTCTAATAGCACCAGCAGAGTCATCCATGGTAGACAGGTTTCAGTGGTGCTTCCAGACTAAGACAGCCTTGGAAGAAAGGTCTAGCAATCTATTTCCTAGAAGTAGTAAAAGAAAACAATAGAACAGTGTTGACTATCAGTTTCTATCTATCAATCTATTGATCTATCGATCATAATAGTATAGGGCAGTTGTCAGAGCAGAACTATGCCAAGAACTACAGGAATGTACATGTAAGAAAGACTAAAATTATCAGAGGGTAAAGGAGAGCATCTGGGAAAACTTTGCAAACTGTCAGTAAAATTATTTGAAACTTAGAAAAAGGGAAAAGAAATTATGAGGTATTCTTTCAGTGAAGTGCTAAGATTAACCTCTACTTGCTTTTCTATTGACTGAGCTATCTATTTATCTATTTATTTAGATTTAGGTGAAAGTTTACAGGGCAAATTAACTTTCCTTACAGCAGCTCATATACACTGTCTTATGACACTGACTGTAATTTTCCACAATGCTACAGCTCCCCTACCACTTCCTCTCCATTGTTCCCTTCTTTCCTATGCCCTCCTGCCCCCAGAGCTGTCTCCCTGTGCATACAAAGCCCTTCTACTCGCCCATGATTGATCTCTACCTAATGTAAATGTTCAGCTCATATGCCTGCCTTTTGTTTGGCTGGAAGCCACAGCAGTGGGTTTAATTCCAGACCTGAAGGGCAGCTAGGGGCCAGTCTCAGTGGTTCCATCAGGCTATATCAGACCAGCAAACCTGGTCCTTTTTTTTTTTTTTAATGATTTTGAGTTTTCTTTCACATTGTTCTCCCATTCTATCCAGGATCTCCTACTTAGATCCCCCTCCAAGTGGTTGACAGTGATGGCCGGGCGCCATCCAGTTCTTCTGGTCTCATAGTCCTATAGGCTGAGGATCACATGGTGTACCAGTTGCTTGGACTAATTGTTTCTGTGCATCTTTGGTTTCCTTCATTATTCTTTGCTCTGGATAAGGAGAGACCCATAATTGCATCTAGATGGCTGCTTGCAAGCTTTTAAGATCCCAGTCGCTACTCACCAGAGTAGGATGTGGAAGAACGTTTTTGTGTAGTATGTTATGCCAATTGTCCCGTTGCAATGCTGGTCCCAAACCCACAGGCCCAACTACTCATGACTGAGCTATTTGTACAATTTAGTAGGGGCAGAGGTTAACCTGCAGATCCTGTCTGATGAAGATGCAAATAATTTCCTTCTGTTGGAAAAGATAATCTTAAAAGTTATGGTTTATTGTCTTATTGGGCATTAGCCAGGTTTGTATTTAACCCAGAAATTTAATCATAACATCCCTTTATTAAACTGCTCATAAGTATAAACCCAAACCCACTGCCACTGAGTCGATTCCAACTCGTAACGACCCCTACCAGGTTTCCAAGGCAGTAAATCTTAAGGAACTAGACTCCTCCATCTTCCTTCCACAGAGCAGCAGGTGGGTTTGAACTGCCAACCTCCCAGTTTTCAGTCAAATGCCTTAGTTACTGTCCTACCAGAGCCCCCTGCCCATGAGTACATAGCTCCTTAAATTAAAATTTGTACAGGTTTTAACTAGCTCCCTCATTAATTAATGCATTGAATAAAATCTTTCAACACATGTTCATTTTATATTTTTACAAGAGCTATAATTTATGTTTTTGAAAATAAAAAATTTAAAAAGCCACCTGGTATTTGAGATGAGGAAGAGTTGGAATTTGAAAAAAAGAGTTCCAATTTGGTAGGGAAAGGCATCTATTCAAATATTCATACCAGTAATCTGAAAAGCTCCTTTGATACCATGTTTTCCCTGACCCTCTATATCAAATCAAACACAAAATGTCATGCAACTTCTGTTATATATTCTTCTCATAGTTATAGTAGAGATATTCATATTCCAGGTTTAGAGTTAGCAAACTTGGGTTTGAATTTGTTCTACTACTTACTAGCCATGTCAATTTTGGAAAAGGATCTTAAACTCTTTAAATCTCAGCATCTTCATTTATAAAAATTGTTGCTGTTGTTGTTGTTATGTGCCACTGAGTCATCTCTGATTCATAGTGACCTAATGTACGACAGAACGAAACACTTCCAGGTCATGTGCCAGCTTTACGATCTCTACTACACCTAAACCCATTGCTGCAGCATGTCAATCCATCTTGTTGAGGGCCTTCCCCTCTTTCGTTGCCCCTCCACTTTACCAAGTATGACATCATTCTCCAGGGAATGGTCCCTTCTGACAACATGGCCAAACTAGGTGAGATGAAGTCTTGTCATTCTCGCTTCCAAGGAGCATTCCATCTTCACTTCTTCCAGGACAGATTTGTTAGTTCTTTTAGCAGTACACAATACTTTCAGCATTCTTCGCCAACACCACAACTCAAAAGCATCAATTCTTCTTCGGTCTGCCTTATTTATTGTCCAGCTCTCACATGCATATGACATGAGTGAAAATACCATGGCGTGGGTTAGGCACATCTTACTCTTCAAGGAGATATCTTTGCTCTTCAGCACTTGAAAGTGGTCCATTGCAACAGATTTGCTCAATGCAATATGTCTTGATATCCTGACTGCTGCTTCCACTGGTGTTGATTGTAGAACCAAGTAATATGAAGTCTTTGACAACTTCAATCTTTTCTCCATTTATCCTGATGCTGCTTATTGCTACAGTTGCGAGGATTTTGTTTTCTTTTTATTGAGGTGTAAACCATACTGCAAACTGTAGTATTTAACCTTCATTGGTAAGTGCTTCAAGTCATAGTCACTTTGAGCAAGCAAAGTTGTGTCGTCTGTGTATCTCAGATTGTTAATGAGCCTTCCTCCCATCCTGATGCCACATTCTTCTTCATATAGTCCAGCTTCTCAAGTTATTTGCTCAGCATACAAACTGAATAAGTATGGTAAAGGATACAACCCTGACACACTCCCTTCCTGATTTTAAACCATGTGATATCCCCTTGTGTTCGAATGACAGCCTCCTGGTCTGTGTATAGGTTCCTCATGAGAACAATTAAGTGCTCTGGATTTTTCATTCCTCTCAATGGTATCCGCAATTTGTTATGATCCACCCAACTGAATGCCTTTGCATGATCAATAAAACACAAATAGGTATCTTTCTGGTATTCTTAGCTTTCAGCCAAGATCCATCTGACATCAGCAATGATATCCCTTGCTTCACATCCCCTTATGAATCCAGCTTGCACTTCTGGAAGGTCTCTGTCAATATACTGCTGTGACCGTTTTTGAGTTATCTTCAGTAAGATTTTACTTGCATGTGATATCAATGATACTTCGGTAATTTCCACATTCTGTGGGATCACCTTTCTTTGGAATGGGTACAAATATGGATCTCTTCCAGTCACTTGGCCAGGTAGCTGTCTTGCAAATGTCTTGGCATAGCTGAGTGAGTGCTGCCAGCACAGTATCCATTTGTTGAAACATCTCAATGAGGATTCCATCTATTTCTGGAGCCTTGTTTTTTGCCAACTCCTTCAGCGCAGCTTCAACTTCTTCCTCCAGTATCATTGGTTCTTGATCACATGCCACCTCTCGAAATGGATGAACCAATTCTTTTTGGTATAGTGACTCTGTGTATTCCATCCATCTTCTTTGAATGTTTCCTGCATCATTCAACATATTGCCCATGGAATTTTTCAATACTGCAATTTGAAACTTAAATTTTTCCTCAATTCCTTCACCTTGAGAAATGCCAAGCTTGTTCTTTTCCCTTTTGGTTTTCTAACTCCAGGTCTTTGCACATTTCATTATAATAACTGACTTTGTCTTCTTGAGCTGCTCTTTGAAATCTCCTGCTCAGCTCTTTTATCTGGTCGTTTGCTCCATTTGCCTTAGCTACTCTCCATTCAAGGGCAAGTTTCAGAGTCTTTATAAAAAATGGGGGGAGTAATTATTCTT